TTTCTTCATTCTGTTTTACAACTTCTAGAGTAAGTTTCAAAATTAAAGAGAGAAAAACTATAGCCTTCAACAGAGTTTGAAAGAAGCAGGCATAGCCTTCTCCGTGTCCATTTATAGCAGAACTCCAAGAGGTCTTTATATCTATTCGGATATGCAGCAGAAATAGAAACAACCATTTAGGAGACATGACTCAAAATTCAGTGCCAAATTTAAATTATAAATACATTGTTCTTTCTGATGGCCTTCTTGATTATTTTAACAAGTTCAGTCTTTAACTACAGGATAATAGAGTGGATGCTAACCACTCAGATATGTGTGTGTGCTTGTATATATGTAAAGAAATGCATATACCAAATGTTGCACCTTTAATTTTATAATAAACCTACAGTATCCTTTCTAAGGTCTCATTAAATCAGATTTTAAGAGCAGATATAATTCGTGAAATTTTATATTCTTCACTTTCAATATGACTCTAGATAAAAGTCAAATTTTATCTTACAAGAAATATCTTTCTGGTCATAGTTTTCAAACAGAAAACAAGAATAAAAATGGCCAAATTGTTAATTGTACCCTTTATACTTAAAAGTTATCCTTATTTCCATTTTTCTTTCAATACAAAAGAATTTCAATTTCATATTAAGAGCATATTCCTATTAATGCTGATATAATAAGTTACTTTTATGTTTAGCAATCATGGACTTTAAGCTTTGCTATTTTTCTTAGTTCTCAAGCATCTGCAGTCATCATTTGTATCATTTTATATGTCACCTCTAAAGGAAGCCACATTTGTAAGTGTGAGTAATAAATTTAAGATTGTGGTAGTTGCATACCAGTTCCTAAGGGTAAACTTCTGCAGGTGTTTATATGTCAGAGAAGCTAAAAATCTGGGTGAAATCAGGGGAGATCCCTCCTATAATGGAAATCACTCTTTGCAGCGGAAACAGCCAGAATGACTAGGAAGATCTGCCTTAAGACTACCTATAGACTAAGGCAAACTTTGTCAGATATCCCAGTTAAATTTCTATGCCAAGAAATTTCACTCAGTATGAAATCTTCACCTGTCCATTTTTCTCTTTATGCTGAAGAGTTTAAGCATGTGTAACTCTGCACTGATATGCCCAGGAGTATCGTTTCTCCTTTTTTATCCAAGAGAGAAAAAGAAATCATGCAGGTTTTCTGGACTTTGTAATCCCTGGCAAATACCATCTGAGATGAAACCCACAGCAGCATAATGTTGGTTTGTTGTTTCAGATGTATTTGATAGGGTGCAAGAAGATCTTTGCTGTGGTCAGTCAGATTGTCACTTCTATCCAACTCTAAAATCCTATTAGTAAAAAGGCAGCCGTGCCTGTCTGTCCCTCAGAGATTTCTAAGGGAGACATAGCCCCTTCTAGAATGCATATAAAGATAATATAATTAACTATAAACTCCTTGTATGAAACAAATATGCATTTAATCTGGACTTCAAAGTAGAAGAAGGTTTGGTTCTCTTGTTCTTAGTGTTTTTAAAACATTTTGCACTTTAAAAAATATGGCAAACAAACAAGCAGACCATGTGAATTTTTAAAGTGCTTTCCAAGGCATGTTGTATTTTAAGTACAGTTTCAGTCCTAACTCTAAAGCGTAGAGCTACATGCTGAGAATTGATGTTCATGTGGTACTGTAAGATTTTGAAGAGCTTTCTTGAATCACTGAAGATTAAATTATGTTCCATCTGACTTTCCAGTTCACTATAATTTATGATGTTTGAGAAGTAGCATGATGTAAGTAATAACTCTTAATTAACCAAAATAGCCAGTTAACTTGAAAATTCCACTATTAGCCATTTTTATAAACAAAATCTTTTGGTAATTCATTGTAGACTAAGCAGAATTGTTTTGTGTACAATCTGTGAAAAATGTTTGCTAAATAAATGAATAGTATAAACTTGGTGAGAGAGGTTATTTTTAAAACCAAAGTTGTTAGTCCATTCATTATTTGATTACATATTGAATCTGTTCCATAAAGCAAGAACTATTTGTAAAGCAGGCAGGGACAGCTACTTAAATTTTTTAAATTGACAGTTACTTTAAATTGTTGTATTTATTTGAAAACAGTAAGTATATTTTATGAAATGTTTTGTAGTTCTGACTTTTTCTTAGTCTTCCTCTAAATTTGTTTGAATTATTAACTATTTTATCATATTTTCTGTTATAAAATTAACTTAATTATGACTGAGCCTTATGTATTTAAAAAATAAGTTTTGAAAGACCTCTGTGAAAGCCAAATTTACAGTTAACAATAAACCATAAAGTATAAACAGCAAATAGAGTGAACACTGGGTTTAGAGGAAAATATTTTCAATTGGGTCATAGAAAGGAAAAATAGAAAAATTGAATTAAAAATTTTAAATCTCACACTGGTAAGATATATGAAATTTTGTCTAAAATTATGTAATGACAAATAATATGATTCTTCTGAACTATTATAGACAGATAGGTTCCCGCAAAAGTGGTAGTTGTACACATACTATGCATTTTGATTTAAGGGTTGACTTCTTTTTGAAATCCAAAATGTGTTAGCCTCTATAAAAAGCTTAAAGGAAGCTTATAATCAATAAAACAGGATTGGCATACAGTTGTGTTTAACTTTGAGGCTTTTAGTTTTATTGGAAGCCAGAGCAAGAGAATAAAGGGAGTTGGTAATAAATTCGTAAACGGACTTCCCATTCCACATTGGAGGCTTTCTGGAAGAGTTATTTGAGCTTGACTTTTTCAAGGCAATGTCCATGTTTAAAATTGTTCAGCTCTCAAGATAATAAGAGTAGATTAAGATTTAAACTTGAAAACAAAATTTGCAAACTATATGATTAATGCCAACACATTGTGGACTGGTGAAAGGTCTGTGACATTATTACATAGGAAATGATATAACCAGCATGTTCCCCCAAACTATGTTTCATGGACCAGTATTTCAGCCTGATAAAGAGACCATAAGAAAAGGATGGACAAATGAATTTAGAAATAGGATATTATATTGTCCTCTTGGAGAAACACAGTGCCTATTAGCCTCTTAAACACTCTTAACAGGTCCTGAACTAAAGGAACTGTTTAGAAGTTTGGTTTGTTTCCCAAATTTATTTGATTAGAGAACAATTTTAGAAAATGAAACACTCACTTCTGCCTTGTTTCTTCCAGTAAGGGATGGGAAATTACCACCATCTTGTATCTTCCTTTTAGATAGGAATGCACGTAGTACTGAGTGACATCATTTAAATGAAAGTTGCCCAGTAGTCTTGTCATTTTTTTTGTGCATTTCTTTCACACCTAATATTAATGCTCTCAAGGTTTAAATTTTTATTTGTAAAACTGACATCTTTGTCCAATGTAACTCTTTTTTACATCCAAGAAGAGCAGTGTGTCAAAATTAAAACGTACTGGTTTTATCATTATCCTCCAGAAGAGAGCTGATCATATTCTTTTTTCTTATTTCTAAGATATGCTTTTCCCACTTCTTCACTTTCCTGAAATTGGGATGCGTATGCAATATGTGTGTGTTTGATGTTGTAGATTTTTTCCCCCTAGAAAAGCTGTTGTAAAGTCAATGTGTATGTCTTCTATTCATCTGTATCTTAAAACTGAAGAAATCTGGTCTTTTGGTATCTTATACTTTCTTTAGTGGTAAGTTTCAAGTAAGACAAATATGTGAAGCTCCTGTGTTTCTGGGGAACAGACACAGACTCAGGCTACCTTAAGGAGCAGGCAGATTACTATAAACATAAGAAGGGACTAGACTAGAATGTTCTTTGGGCCTGAGGCAGTTTTCTGGATCAGCTGTGGTCTCTATTTCTCCTTCATGGCTGATGTGGTCTATTTGTTTGTGCCTGTCTGCTCTTTAGTTCTACTATCACAGCCAATCTCTTCTCTTTTCACCAGTCCAAATTTAGCAAAGAGCCATTCTGATTGGTTTAATTATAGACACCTTAGGGGAGCATAGCTGAGGACCCAGACAAAGGCCGTCAGGCCATCCTGGGTCAGATGCCGACAGTGATGCTGTCAGTGGTCCATCCTAGCACAAAAATGGGCCTGATGCTACTGCCCTGCAGGGAAGGAGGCTGGGCATGCTAAGCATTCCCATTAATATATTCAGGGAAACAGAAGTAGTCTGTCCCTGGTTGATCTAAAGGACAAGTCCAAGAAATGACTTAACAAGCTTCTTAATTATGACAGACCTCTTATGTGAGGCTAGGTAGCTGAGAATAAGGACAAGAGAGATTTCTAGGATTTAGAAGTAACTGGGGCTGCATTTCAGATTGTCTTTTACTTACCACCAATAACTGTATAACTGTATTGGATGAGTTGGAGTTCTACAGGCAACTCAGTGAAGCAGAGGGAACAATAAAACTTGACCAGAAAAGTAATATAAATTATGAAATTTGAAAATGTAGTCTACATTTCATAAACTCAGCAGTTTGCAACATGTGTATTACACTTTGATATGCCAAACAACTTTTCTATAACAACTTAATCAATGGGTATACTTTTGCCATTTTTTCCTCTGAAGTTTTTACTCTACAATTCTTGAGATGTTCGGCTCTAACACAGACATGTGAATTGATGGTTCTCTCTCATTCTTTTATGAGTGATGAACATACAGTGCTACTTCTATGGGCCTGTGTGCCCTAGAGATGACTGTAACCTGCTATTGATCAGCTGATTGAAGATAAATGGCTTAGCTGCTTGTATTGCAGATTACATCATTAACATGGTCAGTAAACCATGAATTGTTCAATAAGGCGTTTATCTTTTTTCATTTTACTTCTGCTCTTTTATCATTTTTATTAGAAAAGACAAAATTACCCACACTAACCAGCAAGATCAGTAGAAAAGAGATCCAGTAGGGTACCATTATGGCTGCAAAGTTGCAGACCTCTAACTTCTAATGGTTTAATGATATTTAGTATGTTTTTGAACTGAAGAAAATATAGAGTTTTAATAATCTTTTTTGTGTTTCTTTTACAGCTTCCTTTTGCCTCATATTTACTAGAAGCAGTACTGGAAAAAATAAATGAAAAAAAGAAACTAGTTGAAGGATATTTCACAATTATGAAAGATATTAGATGATATTAAAATGGAGAGCTTTATTACAAATGTGAAAACTTTTTATGTGGTGTGATTGGAATATATGCATTGCAATCCTGATACAGTATCTGCTCCAACTATCAATACTCAGGTTCAATACAAAAATAAGAAGTCTCTGAAAATAATTAATTGCTGAACAAGTGAAACTAATTAAGTGCATAGCCATTTAAAAGGAAATAGTGTAGCATTTGATTGTTGAATACAAATATTGCCACAAATCAATGCAAACTTAAAAATGATTTTCCTTCTAGTGCATTAAAAGAAACTGAACAGGCTTGGCACACAAATTGGTCTGAGCATAGGAAGAAAAAGTATCAACTAAGGATTTAATGTTTTAAGTTTCATAAAGAAACTAGATTTTTTACATAAAACTGCTACAGATGGCCATAAGTGGTCCAGGGAGCAACAGATTTGTATTACGAGCAAATATAAAATGAAGCATCATAACTTGAGCATTTATTGAAATAAATTGTGTGGTCCAATTGAATCTGTTCTCATTGATGTGCTGGTTTATGTAGGAGATACTGTGTATTTGTACAACTATTTGGCAAAAATAAAAACATTTTCTTCTCTCTCTTAAATTCACAATAGTATATGTTGTGTAATCATATAAATTCACAGGGGACCACAAACCCAGTGTATAAAATTAGGCTCTAATTAACAGAACTACTACTGTGGTCAACTAATTATTAAAGTTACATTCTTAACTATGATGTCATTCTTGCTTAGATTCCTGAACATTCCCACCTCATTTCACCTCTTCACCATGTTCCTGCCATACCCTTTTCGGTTCCTCTAATTCACCAAACTGGTGCCTGCCTCCCACATTTGCCCTTGGTCTTCTCTCTTTCTAGAATACTCTGCACTCAACTTTCCTCATGGCTGGCTCCTTCTCATCATTCAGGTCCAGTTTCCCCGGTCCCTCAGAGACACATTCTCTGACCAGCTTACTATTTTATTTCCTCATAGCACAAAATTACCTATCTGTTCATGTATTTGTTTTCTTGTTTATTTTCTTTTTTCCCCTCTTTAGTATGTAGGTCCCATGAGATTAAAACAAGGGTTGGCAGATTATAGCCTGCAGGGCGAATCTGGCCTGCTACCTGTTTTGTATGGCCCACAAGCTAAGAATGATTTTTGCCTTATTAAATGGTTTTTAAAAAATCAAAAGGAGAATACTATTTTGTAGCATGTGAAAATTATATAAAATTCAAATTTTGGTGTCCTTCAATAAAGTTTTATTGGAACACGGTGGTGCTCATTCATTTCTGTATTACTTATGGCTGTTTTCACACTACATGAGTGTAGCTGAGTAGTTACGGAAGAGACTGTGCTTCTCTTATAACTTTGCACTACTGCTTGGAATACTACAAATCACAATGACACAGTTACAACTTGACAGAATTTTAGGTGACACAAATACTGCCTTACTGTAATTTAAAACAAACAAACAAACAAAAAAACCAGCACATACTTTTCATGTCAAAACAAGAAAAGAAAAAAGAAATGACCATCAAATGTCACACACTTAAGGCACAATGAAGTGCGGATTTTCTTATTGAATTAGATGGCGAAGCATTGTGTTTATTATGTGATGACACTATATGCCCAAAGGATGCAATTAAAACATTACCATACTAAGCATTCATCACAGTATTCCCAACTCACAGGAAAGCACAAGTAATAAAAAATTACAAAACTTAAAATGTAATACTTTATTACAGCAAAATTTTGTTCCAAAGATAAAAATGAGACTGCATAGTATGACTTTGATACCAAGACTAAACAAAGACAGTGTACAAAAAAAGGAAAATGTGGTAGACTGAGAAATGGCCCCTGAAGATGTTCACTCCTTAATCCCTGAAACCTGCAAATGTGTTACCTTATATGTCAAAAGGAAATTTGCAAATATGATTAAGTCAAGGATCTTGAGTGGGAAGATTATCTTGGATTACTGATGTGAGCCTGATGAAACTGCAAGTGTTCTTATGAGAGGGAGGCAGGAAGAGTCAGAGAGAGAGTAATTCTACCAGAGAGGTAGAAGGAGAAATTTGAAGATGCTACACTACTGACTTAAAATATGGAGGAAAGGGCTATGAGCCAAAGAATGTGGATGGCCCTTGGAGACCAGAAAAGGCAAGGAAACAGAGTCTTCCTATAACCTTGGGAAAAGCTCAGTCCTGTCAGCACCTTGACTTTACCCCAGTGAAACTGATTTTGGACATCTAGAAATGTAAGATAATACATTTTATCTAATTTAAGCCACTAAGTTTGTGGTACTTTCTGACTGCAAAAATAGAAAACAAATAGAAGTTGCCAAAAATCTGTTTAGAAGTTTTACGTCTGTGTTCATGAGGGATATTGGTCAAAAGATACACAATCAGGGCTGGTTCAATATTCAGAAATCAATCAGTGTAAACCACCATATTAACAGGCTAAAAATAACATGCGATCATAAAATTTGATATAGAAAAAGCATGTGACAAAAATTGGCACTCATTTATTTAAAAAAAACTCAGAGCCGGGCACAGTGACTCATGCCCGTAATCCCAGCACTTTGGGAGGCCTAGGTGGGCGGATCATGAGGTAAGGAGATTGAGACCGTCTTGGCTAACACGGTGAAACCCAATCTCTACTAAAAATACAAAAAATTAGCCGGACGTGGTGGCGGGCGCCTGTAGTTCCAGCTATCGGGAGGCTGAGGCAGGAGAATGGCCTAAATCCGGGAGGCGGAGCTTGCAGTGAACGGAGATCCCGCCGCTGCACTCCAGCCTGGGCGAAAGAGTGAGACTCCCTCTCAAAAATAAAATAAAATAAAATAAAAAAACAAACTCAGAAAACTAGACATAGGGACTTCTCAATTTGATAAAACAATCTTTTAAAAGCCTACAGCTAACATTGTACGTAATGATGAAGACCGAACACTTGCGCCTATAATCAGGAACAAGGCAAAGATTTCAACTCTCACCACTTTCACTCAACATAATGTGGGAAATTCTAGCCAGCCTAGTAAGGCAAGAAAAGGAAATAAAAGGCATCCAGATTGGAAAGGAAAAAGAAAACTACTCAAAACACAACGAAAACAAAAACGTTACAGAATTAATGAGTTCAGGAAGATCTCAAGATACAAAATCGACATAGAAAAATTGTGTTTCTACACTCCAGTAAACTAGTAAAAAAAATGTGGAAACAGAAATTAAAAATACAGTACAATTTATGATTTCCTGAAACAGAGAAATACTTAGGTAAAAAACCTGACAAAACATGCGTAGTGCTTGTAGATGAAAATTATAAAACACTAGTGAAAGAAATCAAAAAGATCTAATAAATTAGGAGACATAGTGAGAGCATGAGTTAGGATACTTATGTTAAAGATGCCAGATGTCTGCAAATTTTTATAAAGATTTAACACAATTCCTATCAACATCACAGCAAGAGATTTAGGAAACAGAGAAAAATTTTCTAAATTGTGTGTGGGAACTCAGAGAAACTAGAAGAGAGAAAAAAAAAACTAAGAAGCATAATAGTGGAGACATCACTTTACCCAGTTTCAGGATGTTTTAAATAGCTACACTAATCAGGAGTGTGTGGTGCTAGGAGGCAGAGGGCTGGACAAATAAATCAATGGAACAGAATAGGGAACCAAGAAATACACTAAAGCAAATATGTCCAACTGATTTGAGACAAAGGTTCAAAAGCAATTCAATAGAGGCATAATCGCCTTTTTGACAAATGGTCCTGAAGTAGTTGGGCATCTTGGGTTAAAGAAAAAAAATCTTGACCTAAACCTCACACATCACATGTTCAGACAAAATTACATCAAAATGGGTCAACATTTAAATGTAAAATGTAGAATATAACATGAGAGAAAATCTTCAGGACCTCAGATTTGGTGAAGAATTTCTAGCCGTGACACCAGAAGTGTGATGCCAAAAAGAAAAATTGGTAAGTTTTAGTTCATCAAAATTAAAAACTTTTGCCCTGGGAATAGACAAGCTACAGAATGGGGAAAATCATTTGCAAATCACATAACTAACGAAGGATTCATATCTAAAATAAACAATTCTCAAAACTCAACGGTAAACTCAACAACAACAAAACAATCCTCTGTGGGTAACATTTATATCCTGGGAGATTATGAAATGAGTTTGGGGCTATGGCTGCTATGAGTGAAAGTTGTCATGTGTTTCAGAATATGGGACAGCGGAAAAAGTGAATTTCACTCTTCAACAATAGCCCTTACTCATCTATTGAAAGCTTTGCCTATTTTAATTTCTTCTCCAAATTATGCAGGATTCTTCCCAGTAGCACAAATGGCCCTTGGATTTAGAGGGTGAAAAGTGAAAATTGCTCTAATGAATTTGTAGCCACAATGAGAAAGGCTTACTTAATAATCTCAAATAACTGTAAAACCAAACAAAACGTACCAGAAAACATTTGAGAGAGCCATTTATTGGCCTATGTTCAGAAGAGTTCATGAGATACATGGGCAGAAGAGTTGTTATTTTTTTCTCTTTAAAAAAATTGTAATTGATACATAATTTTACATGTGTAGGGGGTGAAATAGAATGTTTCAATGCATGTGTACCTTGGGTAATAATTAAATCAGGATAATTATCATATTTGTCACCTCAAACATTTATTACTTATTTATGGTAAGAACATTCAAAATCCTGTCTTTATTTTATTTTCGATTCAGGGGGCACGTGTGTAGGTTTGCTAAATGAATGCATTGCATGATTCTGAATTTTGAGTTTCTAATAATCTCATCACCCAAGTAGCAAACAGTACCTTATACATAGTTTTTCAACCCTTTCTCCCTCCTTTTCCCCACTTTTGGAATCCCCCGTGCTTATTGTTTCCATCTTTGTGTTTGTGTATACCCAATGTTTATCTCCCACTTTTAAATGAGAACTTGAGGTATTTTGTTTTCTGTTTCTGTATTAATTTGCTTAGCACAATGACTTCCAGCTCCATTCCCACTGTTGCACAGAATATGCTTTTGTTCTTTTTTAAGGCTGCATAGTATTCCATGGTGTATATATCTTCCACATTTTCTTTATCCAGTCCACTGATAGGCAGTTGAGTTGATTCCATGTCTGCTATTGTGAAGAATGCTGCAATGAACATACAAACGCAGGTATCATTTTAATAGAATGATTTACTTTCCTTTGTTTATATAACTACTAATTGGGTTGCTGGGTCAAATAGTAATTCTGTTTTTAGTTTGAAGAATTGCTATTTTTAATTCCTACATTCCCATGCATGTAACTGCCTTTGGTATTAACACAAATTTATGTAAGTGGCTTAATATAATGGGATAAAAATGACTTTTTTGTTGCCTGTGACATGAAAGCTTTCATCGAAAAGGTGATTTGTTTTAAAAAGCCTCTTGAGTTACCTTTTAATTTTTAAATACACAGACATATTTGATTAAATTTTTTTTCTGCTCACCAAGGAATGGTAGACACTACAAACACTTTTGCACATAGTCCAATCCTCATTTCCTTCTTTCTTCAACACACAGTCTACAAAACCACAGTTTTGACGTCAGCTCCTTCCAACACTTTTTGCCACATTCAACTTTCCTTTCACCTAGGAAATGATCATTAGGGATAATTTAAAAGAAGGTGGTGTCCCTGCCTTCTGTACTCTTACATTTTGTAATAGAGAAAATGTCGCTCTTTGTTAATGCTGACCCTAGCACAAAGGCCTTACAGTCACCCAGAAAGAAGTATTAGAGACTTCCCTGGGTTCATGCTCCACCCTGTAGGTCAGAATTGTTTTAGCATACAACCCTCTCTGTTCTTCCTTAGTGCACTAATCTTAACACTTTCTTCATGAATTCAGTGAAGGACCCAAGCCAGAAAAAGAAAAGCACAGTCAAGACATTTTTATTTTCCAGATTTTTCTTTATTTTTATATAACGTTTTATTTCAAAATAATTTAATATTCACAAGAAGTTGCAAAAGTAGTAAGCAGGGTTTTTGAATACGCTTCACCCACATTTCCTGAATGGTAACATCTTACATAACCACAGTACAAACCATGAAGCTGCCATTGGTACAATATTTTTAACTCAAATGTAGACCATAGATGGATTTAAGTTTTTACATTCACTTTGTTGGAGTATTTTTAGGACATTTTGTCACATGTGTAGATTATACAAGCATTACCACAATTGAGATTCAGAACTGTTCCATCAGCACAAAGAATATTCCTCATGTTATCCCTTAGTACTCACATCCTC